TCATTCATATTGCTTACAGTTGAATCATTGTCTTTAAAATACTGAGGGTAGTTTCCTTATAATACTAATCAATTTGTTTTTGTATTTACTTTCTGGTTCTATAGTTCTGAATTTTATGAATTCTTTATACAAGGTATTCTTTTTTTGCATGCATTCTGAAGTCCTTTTGTCATCCATGGCCTATCTATATATTTTTGCTTCTTGTTGTATTGTTTCAAAGGACAGTGTTCATCATATAATGATTTTAATGTTATCAGGAATGTTTCATATGCTTTGTTGGTATCAGCCTCTTTAAACACTTGTTTCCAATTTTGTGTTAGTAATGCATTTCTAAATTTGTTTATAAATTCTTCTGTTCTTATTTTCCTGTATCTAATCCTATTAACATCCTAACACTTAACATCATCACAAACAAACATTACAAAAACCATCAAATGGTCACTGATGTCATTTAGTCGTAACCCACTGTTTGTGAATATGTTATCTATTAGAGTTGCACAGTGAGATGTTATTCTGCTTGGTTTGGTGGAAAAAAAAACCTCATACTGAACAATACATCGATAAATTCAGTCAGTTTGTGCTTGTTGGGATTTAACAGATCTAAATTAAAATCCCACAAATGAACACAACTTTGTGATCCTTCTTGGTAAACAATCTTTCCATACTATTCTTGAATGTTTTAATATTGGAACCCAGGTGCTCTGTATACACAGCTCACAATTACATTTTTCTTTTTTTCCATAGGCAGGGGGTTTGTGTGACTCTTCTGGAGCCTGCATCCCCCCTGTCGGGCCAGGCCGCTGGTCAGTTCTGAACTCCCCTCCCTGTCTTGTGACCCCGGTTAGGTCCGAACTGGAGCTGCCAGCGTGGTGTTGCCAGGGAGACAGATTTTCCCTCGGAGAGTACAGGTGGTAGCCCCGGTGTCTTTCAACAGAGAAGGATTGGAGAAGGTCCTGGACTCGTTCTAAGGCTCTTCCTCCCTTTGTCTCTATTTGCTCGGTAGTTCCCTGGGCGGCCAGGGAATGCTTGCTATGCAAGTCTGATTTGGGCTCGGCCTCACGTGCGGCCAGCCAGCCACTTCAGACAGGTCCAGCACTGTCCGCTTCGTCTGTTGCAAGTGTGCCATGCCCTTTGACACCCCCTTAGCTCTCAGCGTTTGACGTTGAACAGCCATGTAAGGGGTCCTGAAGCAGTGCCGCCGGAGCAATCTTTGGATGGCCCACACATAACTATTTATGGTACGGATATCGTTTGAAAAGAAGCCCCGCCTGGTGGTAGCAGACTGACCCGCCTGCGCCAGAACTGGAGCAACACGGAAATCGCTGGGACCGCAGGTGTAGGAGCTTCGAGGGCTAGAAGCTCGGCATCTAAAGTGTTGCGGGGGCTTACCGAGGCAGCCAACACAGAAGACTTTTTAAGCTTCCTACACCTGGCTTTAACCTGGGAACGACTTCAACCTACAGGTGAGAGACAGCTTCATCCAGGGCCGCTGCTGTTTCTCCTGTCACTGCCAGGAAATTGGACAGATACTTATCCTCAGCGTCACTCCACTTCAGCTTGGAAACCCGATCACTGCCCGTTGCTGTCTGGGAATCCCGGTGAAAAGCCACCATGTGTTGGGACCGTCTATTATTAGATAGCCCTGCCTTAGTGGAGAACGACCGAGAGCAGTGATCACATCCGAAAATGCCCACAGAAACAGTCCTGGGTTTCACTCAGCCACAGCCCAGTACATGGCTTGTGGCCCTGGGGGGGGGGGTTAGGGCCAAGGTTAGGGAGAGGCTTAGCCAAGAAGTTAACGCTCAAACCGGCTGTCGTCGGTGGGGGGGAACAAAGGCACCAGCCAGCCCTGCACTCGTAACCCGGACTCGCTGCCAGCCATAGGCTACCAGCGGCCGGGCCCGCCATACAGGTCCAACGGGCTTCCCCCGAAAACCCCCACCGTCCATTGTCCCCCCCCGCCACGAGCCAAGGGGGGGACTGAGAAAGACAGGGCGCCACTGGAGAACACACGCGTAATGCGGACTCACACTGCCAGCCACCAGGACTGTCAGCTGCCGCACCCGCAATGTGGGACCCAGCGCGCTCAAGCCTCGCTCGATCTGGGGCTACTAGGCTTTCGAGTCATGAACGGATGTTTGGAAAGGACAATCTTGAAAAAGGTTCTAAACAAGTGTATAGTAAAGAGCAGGGCTCTTTTGCTTAAGAGCCTGGCGAAGCTATTCTTCTGTGACTTACTGAGGCCCAGGGCTCCCAGTAGAGAACCGTTAGGTCCGTGCCATTTCCCCCGCGCTCCGATGGGGAAACCCTGCACACGAACCCGTTATAGGGATGGGTAAAGACCCCTAGCTACCTTGGCAAAGGGCTTGTATTTGTGATACTTGCAGTTGGCAAGATCATTGAGGGTGTCCTCTGAGCCCTCGAAGATGATGGCTACATCAGCAATAATAGCCTGGGGTCCTTTCCGCATAAGGAGGTCGGGGACTCCGACTGTCCCGGCCGGGGTGGTCATCCTCCTCTCTCTGTCTACAGACCAGCCTCGGCGGGTTGCCTCGTTAGCGAGGAGTTCAAAGATCTTGTTGTGGTTACTCAACCTATTCTTTTGGAGCCCCGGGCAGGAGCTGACAATTTGCCGCATGGTTTCTCGATGTGACTTGCATAGACGGCAGCTCAGGAGGTTCTGAGCCGTTGGCCTGCCCCTCGCGCCAGACACCAACGTGGGCATCGCATTGGACTGAAGCTTCAAGGCAGTGATGGTTTCAGACTCGAACCGGAGGCATTCGGCCTGATTGCACAACCAGGCGTTGCTTATGCAGTCGTCCCGGAAGACCGAAACGCCGACACCTTGGGAACTTAGCTTGCTCCATCTGTCGAATTAAGCATGCTGCCATGCTGAGGGAGACACAGGGGGAGCATTCGCGGTGGGCGAATCACTCTCCGAGCCGCCGTCGACCCCAGCAGAAGACTCGACCGTCAGCCTCACCAACTCCAGCAGCTTGGGCGGGAGGGTGGCAGCGGATACCACCCTCGTGTACTCATCCCCGGAGGTCAGCATTAGCGACAAGCGACGGAGCCTAATGGCCGGAATTAACGCTCCGAGCCGAACCAGCCCTAGACCCCCGTCACGGGCCCTTGAGAACAGACCGTCCGCGGGCGACTGCTCCAGATGGAGCTAGGCCTTCACCTTGGTAACAAATGTCCCTGTCACAGACGTCCAGATGGGCCCGGCTCACATCTCCTAGATCTGCGATATATGTCACCCGGGGGAGACCATATATTTTAAGAAGGTCAAAGGCCATGGCTCTTTGCCGGGTTGACTCGGAGCCCCGACAGTTGGCAAAACTTTCCGAGGATTGCCAGATTGCTGGACATGCCGTCCCAGGAATCACTCAGGAGGACCAAGTCGTCAGCAAAGACCAAGGATGAAACCGTCAAGTCCTTTACAGTTACTCCCGCCCCCTTCTCCTCCATAAGGCGGAGATGAGGGTCGATTGCGAGGTTGAAAAGCAAGGGAGACATGGGGTCCCCCTGCTTAACCCCCCTGCGCAACCTGATCTTCCCTGTGAGACCACAATCCGACTTTATCCTAGTGAAGCAGCGCTTATAGGAGTCATTGATGAATTCCCTGAGCGTCTCATCAACCCCCCCTCTTGTCCAGCACCTCCGCCAGGTGGCAGTGATTCACCGAGTCGAAGGCCTTTGAGAGGTCAATGAAGATGCATGCCAGTGAACCGCCATCTTTCTTACACAGGTTGATGAGGCCATCCACTACCACAATGTTCTCAGAACAACCAGGGGCTGGTATGAAGGCCCTCTGGCGGGGGTGCAGGGTGCACACTTCAGTCAACCGGCTAGTCAGAACGCTGGACAGAGTCGTTAGGATCACGGAGCCGATGGTGATGGGCCGCCATACTGAAATGTTCAGTATACTGATGTGGACCCAAAAAATGACCACTGAATGACCACGAGAGTTCAGTATACTGAATAGTACGTACTGCCTACTGAACTGTGACAATTCGGAAAGGGCCCAGTTTAGTATGCAGTACAAACTATTCAGTATGGAGCTTTCAGCATTTTTTGGGTCCGTGCAGTATACTGAACATTTCAATGAATTGTATACTAACTCCCACAATGCTGTGCGAGAAACGTAAATATAAAACGTCACTTCCTATGGGCACTTCACGTGCGCTTCCAAAGCAAAACAAATGACCATGGATGCAGCTGGTTCGGGCAACGTGCCTTTCAAATGTGAAGTTGTTAAATTGTTTATATGCAATGTCACGTTTTGTATTATTCACTGAACCATAGTGCATATCACGACCCTGTAATGAGTTATCAGAAGCTCAAAAACATTTACTCATAAATTATTGTGTGGATGTTGAAAACAAGTGCTTTGACTGCACAGGGACAGATGACCACACGCGGCAGCTGATCCGGTGGAGAGCCCGGAACAGCAATCTGTTCACCGGACAGCGGAACACTGCAAGGGTTTCGAGTAACTTATACCATTTGCATGTGTAGATTTCATGGATAGGTGCTGTTGAGAGCTACGACAGGCTATATGGGCTCACAATCTATACTATTTTGCCTTAACAGTCAATGTCAGTGCTATGTCGTGTGATGATCTAACTCGAAGATAATCTTAAAGGTGATTTTATCCTGGTATTAACCCATTACAATTACACTACACTTCTCATTAGAGCATGTGCAAAAGAGATGGGGGTGGAGGGGATAGTCCCCGTCCTCGCCCTGAAGAAGAGGTGGGAGAATTTGAAGCAGAAGTACAAAGTATGTAACTCATACAACTTGCACATTACATGATCAAGACTGACATGCCATTTATTTGACCATTCATGCGTGTGTGTGTGTGTGTGTGTGTGTGTGTGTGTGTTATAGTCGATTAAATTCATGGTTGGCTTTTGGTAAGTTGTATCGTTATTTTAAACTGATGGTTTCATTTCCCAATTTTGCCTTTTAGCTTGTGTAAAACTGAGGTTAGACTACTTAATAAATGACTGACTTCTTTCTCTTTTATCTAGTCGGGGCAAAATGGCAGAACAGTGAGTACCTCTGTCTTTGTTAAACCAGTTTACAATATCCCAACTTTATAAAGAAATCATTTTAAGTTGGAAGTTTCAGCACTTCTTCATACTGTTAATGCTTTTTTTTTTTTTATTCTACAGACCGATCATCACCAAGGTAAAATACTTCACGTCTTACCACACATCACACCACATTTTTGCGGCTGGAGAGATAAGAGAGAATAAACAGAACAAACAAATTAACTTTGTTCTCTAGATGCTTATTATCCCCACCAGTGGTGAGGACAGCTAGCTTTGTGCACCTTTACTATCCAAACCAACCCTCTTTGTTCTCCTTTCCTTCAATACTTAAAAAAAAGGAATAGGAAGACACGCTTTGTATTGAAAGGACATTTTCAGTGTCCAATGTTTTGTTCTCTTTGTTCTACTAGATGTTTAATATCCCAACCAGTGGTAAAGTCAAAAAAATGTTCTTTGTAATATCAGCTTTATTCTTGGGCTCATTTCATGCTTATGCTATACCTCCCAGAGCCCTCAAGACAATCTTGAGCTGGTCTTCATGGTGTATTGTTTTACACATTTCATTTTTCTTAGCTTTTGTTTGTTTGTTTTCTGCCAGGTGTTTAATGATCCCATCCATGGTAGCATAGAGTTACACCCACTCCTCATCAAGATCATTGACACACCTCAGTTCCAGAGACTTCGATTCATAAAGCAGCTTAGAGGTGTCTACTTTGTTTACCCTGGAGCGTCTCACAACCGCTTTGAACACTCGATCGGGTAAGTAAAGCAAGTTTTCAGATTTCAGCCCACAGGTGACCTCAGTCCAAATAAGGAGAAGACTCATGGTTTTCACATAAGCACCTTGTAAAACCAATAAAGGCAGAAAACAGTGCCTGTCTTAGTATGGATCGAATAAAAAATATGAATAAAAATATATATAATAAATTGTGATAACTGCGTTATAATTTTAAAAAATGTTTTCTGTGGTCTAAAAAGGGTGGGATACTTAGCAGGAAAACTTGCTGAGGCTCTCAGGTCAAGGCAGCCGGATCTCAGCATCACTGACAGAGACGTCCTTTGTGTTCAGATTGCTGGCCTCTGTCATGACCTGGGTGAGTAATGCATCCCTTTTCAATATTACATATAATAGTTTATAAATTATGTTATGGGGTATGAAAAGAGTAAAATGAAAGTGAAATGATCCAGAAATAACCCTTCCATCTTTCAAAAAAGCAAGGGCTTCTGCATTAATAAATAAAAAATACGAGGGTGGGGTGAGGTGGTGGTAGCTCAGTCTGTAAAGGGACTCTGATAAGAACTGGAGGGTCTGAATCTTTAAAAATAATATTTAGACTCAGAAAACTTTTTTTTTTAACCCAGAGGGCGTTTCGGTACCACAGTCCACCCAGACCATGCATACATTTACAAACACATAACAGTCTTTCTTGTAAGCAATATTCTCAAGTTTAGATTCAGGAGTAATCCGTTCAAACTCAACAAGACATACTGACTGTATAATCTGTACACTATCAGTGGATTACGCCTGTATTTATCTATCCATTTCAAGGTCATGGACCCTTTTCCCATCTGTATGATGGACTGTTCCTCCCCAAAGCACTGGAAAAAAAGAGGAAATTAAAGAAATGGAAGGTAAGAAGTTTTTATTTCTGTTGTAATATGACAAATGAAATACAGAGGAACCGCAAAACTGAAGCACATGTACCTTTCCCACTGGCTTGTTCTTTTGAAACAAAATCCAGGATGTTCTTTTTTATTTGCCTTCTCAGGTAGAATGTGATTATGCACATTTCCAAGGATGTTGATCTATTTATTTAATAACAATGAATGGTGTAGTTTGTGTTGCTAAATGACCCTCATTATTCTCTTTGGTAATATTATGTCAACTTTTTATCTGACATGTTACCGCTTTTCAGAAGCTCTATGAGATTTTACTAAATGTTTATTTTTTAACCATTAATCCTGGTGATTCAGAGATTTAGATACAACAAACAAAGATAATAATTGAATTCATGGTTCATGAGAGGTAATTCTTTATGACAGGGACCTCTTTTAAAAGCAGAAGGGATTTCTAGATCTGTTTATGTCTCTTTGTCACTCAATAAGAGAAGATAACCTTTATTTATCCTACAACGGGCAGCAAAGAGCAAGGATAGCCAAAAAAGAGTACACAGTGCACCATTCAATAACATTAGATCAAAAGAGTGCGATTGTTGTGTTTACATCCAAACAAACCGGGCTAAAGGGGAAACGCCCCTTTGTTTCAGAACAACTTTTCCAAACTATCCAGGTGTGAAAAAACAAGCATGATTACCTTCCCAAAAACTCTTATGCTTAACAGTTTGACATCGGGTTGAGTTCAGCTAGCTAAATAACCCTGATAAAGACTGTTAGGATCTTGTATACAGTATATGTCCACAGAAAATTGGCTGACATTAAGTCACTTGTCAAATTCTGAGGAACTTTAGGAACTCTGACATTTAAAGTGTTTCTTACATACACACGTTTTGAGATCTTCTCTGCAAATGTTGGTTGTGCTATTTCTGTAGTTCCTTGTCTTCTTGCAATATTTTTCATGATTTGATGAAAGCGAAGCATGGATTGAACCCTTAACATGCAAAAAACATTAAGGTGATGATTGCTGAAGACCAGAAGGCAAGTTCTCATCTGTGCATAAATCAGTCTGTGTCCTACAGCAATGTCACTAATGTCACTATTTTGTAACATCTCCTTAGTATAAAGGCGGACAAGAAGAGTGACAAAAAGTTTTTCTTCTGCCTAGAACTCAGATCTTAAAATTTAACCGTTGTTTTGTTTGTCATGCTTTTCCATGTACATAGTTTATTGTGTTCATATTTTAGCTTTATCTCTGTTTTGTGGAATGGTCCTACATATGTTTTCTATGCAGTGTAAATTTATTGACAACAACATACGTGTCAATAAAACTGGTCCTGATTCGCTTTGTGTCGTCATCCCTGCAGTTGGATTTCAAAGGGCGCCCAGAAGAAAAGTCCTTCCTCTACGAAATTGTGTCCAACAAAAGAAACGGCGTTGATGTGGACAAGTTTGACTACTTGGCCAGGTCAGGTTTTAATGAAGTGCTGTAAAATAATTCTTAACCCTGAACAATGCATTATTCTCATGATTTATTTTAAAATGATACAGCACTCAACAGTAAATTCAGTTTCCCTCTATACACCTATTTTCTTCACATTGCCTTAATCTGTCTCTACGGTAATGGAAATATTTCCCCCGTGAGAATACGAACAAAGACTAAAACCCCAATCATCTTTGTGAGGTTTTATTCCTACAAGAAGCTGTAGGAAGAAGAAACTGTACAGAGTGTATCATGGTGACCACATTGCAGAGTAGCTCAAATGACATATAGAATGAAGTCTCCTTTTATACATGTCAAAGAGGAAACAACAACATTGACAAGCTCCTGTTGTAGGAGATAAGCAGTTTAACACAATCAACCTGAACAGAGGAATGTTTAGTCCATGTAGAGTCATCCTTGTAGAAATCAAAGGTTATCCAAACACATGATGCTTAATCTAAATCAGCATTTCATGAGATGTCACACAGTTCACATTAGAATTACTCTAACACATCTGCTAAATATATTTTTCCCCATTACACTACTCAGGGACTCTTCCTACCTGGGAATCAAGAACAACTTTGACTTTCATCGCTTCCTGCAGTTTGCCAGAGTGTGTGAGGTTGATGGCAGGAAAACTATCTGCACCAGAGACATAGTATGACAAACTTGAGCTTGTAAACAGATAATTGAAAGCAAACTGATAATGTTGTTATTTATGACTAAACTGCAGTCCTAACCTGGGCCTTCAAGTTTATTTTCTTTTACAAATAAGAACCCCTTATACATTCAAAGCTACATTTAATTTGCATCAAGAGCCCTGTGACATTAACTTCTAAGCAAAGAACAGTTCATCGTCATACACTGCATGTGATCCCTTCTCTCTCTCTCCCTCTACACTTTATGTGCTCATGGACTAACACACGTCCTGGGATATTACCATGGCACTTGTACACATAGCAAAATGAATGCTTAGCTCATACCATGCAGCCCTACAGTCAAATGCATTTACATTAAGTTGGTGCAGTTTTTTGAGTGAATGTGAATTGAATTCCAAGTTGCTTACATTGTCAACTTAAAATGCAAAAAAACTTGAATCTATATCCTTTTCCACTGTTGTAATTTTTTTCTGATTCCTTGTCAAGAGCCGGATTTCTGGCTGGAAAGAAGGATTGGCTCAACCCCTCCCTGACGAGGAAGAAAACAACCTGAAACCAGAGGACTTTGAAATCCTGGTGAGTTTTTTTTACTTTCTTTCGTCTCACTTTTTTTTGTAAAATCTTCAGTTTTGCTGATTCTTTGATTTGTAAGATGTTGCAGAATTTGTTATGGCACACATTTTACTCTCGACCTTCTTTTTAGGTCATTAACATGGACTACGGCATGAAAGACAAGAACAGCAAAAATGTCAGAACTAATTATTGATTAAAACAATTTTTTTTATCACAATCATTCAATATTTCTTCTGTTTATTATTTGTAAGGCAGCTTATGTCACCATAACTCTCAAATTAAAGCTGCTGTCATTCTTTACAGGCATCTAGGATTGGCACAACATGCTTTTCTGAGCAGCTGATCAGGGTCTTCTGTAAGAAGACTGATAGAAAGAGTGTGGAGGCTGCAAAAAAAGCACTTTGAACAGTGGTACAATGATTTTCCAATCCTTAGATAATAGTTGAATATTAAGATGTTAAAGGATACAATATGAACTAACTTGCTGTTGATTAAACATAAAACCAGTTGACTTGGCTGAAGTAAATAGAAAACAGTCCACATTGAGTACAGTTTATTTAATATGGTTGAACATGTGATCTACAATCTGCTGAGTGTGGAAAACATTAGCTGTGCTAGCATCCTCAGCCTTCGGTCTTCCTTTCAGGTTAACGTATGCTTACCTGTGCTGGTGAAGCTCTACTCTAATAGATTTGATACTTTAACTTAACAAAATACTGCCAAAGTGAGCAACACTCCAACATGTTATTGGTCCTTTGTCCTGGTTTGCATCCAGGTTAGACAGCAAGTCTAGACAGTCAGTCAGGTTTCTGTACTGAAACAATTTTACTGACCTGTATTGGAACCGTGCAGGACTCTGGTTTGGGGCCCTCAGGTTAAGAGAGGTAAGCAACAGCAGCATGGGAGTGAAACCAAAAGATTAACCAACCCTCTGGTTTCTTCAACTTTCACTCAGGAGCAAAAATCAGCTTTTAAATTTGAAAATTTGAAAGTAAAAATGATTGACAATTATTGTGATAATTATATCGACTGATATGACATTTTGATAACATTTTTTTAGCCCAGGCCTATAAGCTACGGGTCTTATTGTGAATAACGTGTATCCTTCATTAAAAGAAAAACGGACATGTTAAAAAAAAAATCCCTCTTCATACAGTGTGTGCTGATTGAGACATGAGATAATCAGACCAATTTGTTTTTGAATCGGGCTGTAAACATGTTTATTTCTGTGTAAAAATTGGCTTTTTGAATGGGTGTGTATGTGACATATTAATATATGCAGTTAGTGGTTTTATTACATTGAAAGGCTGTTTTAATATATGAGCATTAGAATGGAACAATGAGCAGGGAGGGAATGATTGCATAGTGAAACAACTTCAGGATTCTTTTTTTTTGCATATATATGATTTTGATCTTTTTTTGATGCTAAATTAGCATTGGTGTCTTCAAACTTTTGTATTTTCCTACCAACGGACAAAAACTTTGAAATAATGTATTTTATTACTTGAGATTTAAAAAAACTGAAAGTTCTCAGCAGTGAGATGATGGATCTGCATGATGAGTACATCGTTTATCTTTAAAATAAGTTGAATGTTAGATCGTTTGTTAAATAGAATCATTTCTTCTTCAGTTTATCTCTCACTAGGTTTACTCTATACTGCTTTCTTTAAACAGATGTACTTTTGTGTCTTTATTAACATGCAGGAAGTTCGAGAAGAAGCCGCATCTGCTTGGACCTGAGGGTAATTAAAAGACCATGGAAATGACTCAACAACATGAATAACACAGAATTATTTCTTATTCAGACTCAGGACTCTTTCTAGCTTTTATCATATACATGTTGTATTGTTGTTTTAAATTGTTGACTCCCTTCTGCATCTGCATAAGTTCCAACAACATACAACATGATTTTATTGAGGACAAAGATAAATCATAATATATAATAATATAAACTGATACATAGACACACATGACACTGGATACATTACTTACACAGCTAGCAGCTGTATGGCTGTTGAATACCATTTAGGTAAAGAAAGCCATTATTGAAATCCAACAATCATTGTCTCAAACTGAATATATAAACTGCATGTTTCTGAATTGATTCAGCTTTTGGTCACATTTATGCTTCTTTGTAGGTTGTGATTTTTGGTCGGGGAAAGATGTAAAGCACTCCCAACATGTGTAATGGAGTGAATATTTCACTTGTGGTTTTATTTAGGGATTTATAATACTCAGTGGTGTTTTAGTTTTGATGTTAATCGTTTGAAGATTGAGGACATGAGATTAGATTATTTGTCTTTGAGTGGTGTTTAATGAGAGATGATCATGAGTGATGTTTTGGTGACTGGTATTATCTTATATTACTTTGTATCTGCAGCATTTATTATCACAATACAATTTTAATCTGTTTTAAAATGAGTCTTATTTTGGGCATGTTTTATAATGTGCTCTTCTTTTGAGTTTATGATTCTTACTTTAAAAACTGGAACTTGTGAAAACCTTTATTTGCATCTAAAAACTTGAAATTCGAATTGAAAAATATCTTTTAAACGTATCCATCAACTACCTTTCTTCAATGGATGATGAATGTGTTTAAATGTATGACACACTTTAAGTGAAGCTATAATTGTTTGACGATTGGTTCTTACATAAAGCATCTATGAGAACCTTTCAAGTGTATTCCTGTTGTGATGGGTTCATATCTGATAAAATCTGCATGTATTCAAAATAAACATCAGAGAAAATCCTGAGTTCAACATTGTGTAATCTATCAAACCATATGCATCTATATATATATATGTATATATATACACTGTATATATCACCTGTGGTACAAATCTAATTGCAGTTCAAAGTCCTTTACAAAGGAGCGGAAAAATGACTGACAAAAGGTAGTTTGTAAAATATAACAGCAATAAGAAATGAAATCAGCACAATGATTGATAAATATAAATACTAAAAACCTAAAATCAAACACTAAAATGTAAATTTAAAAGTAGAGATGAATAATATTGATTAAAATATAGTAAATTAAAAGCCTTAAAATGATTAAGTCATATAGAAAAGCCAGACTGAATAAATGAGTTTTTTAAATTGTTTTTAAAAATCTCAATATTCTCTGATCCTCTGAAGTCTGTTCCAAAGTCTCAGAGCAGCTAAACGCAGAATCACAAAAGGTTTTTGTTCTGCTCTGTGGAACAACTAAAAGAAGAACCATAGAAGAACAAGAAGACCTGAGGGGTCGTCCTGGTTCATAAACTAAAATCAACTCTGAAAAGTTAATCTGGTGGGAGGCCAAGTGCTTTAGACAATAATAAAATCAATATGAAGACAAAGAGGCAGCCAGTGTCAAGACTTTCAACGATAGATAAAATAGTTTAATGGGAGTTGTGTGTGTAATTGGCAAAGTCATTAACATTCATTCATTCAATCAAATTCATTTAATCTGTTCTTTAGATGTATGTTTACTGCCCTCACATGCTTCACAGGTTGAGTTAATGTCGACATTGCCTATTTAAACACATCATGTTAAGTTTATTTGTAGGACACAGTAATCATCAACTTACATCATTTGCTCATTTGCATCAACAGAAACAGTGTGTGGAGTTTGGATCACATGCTTTCTATCTGACTTAAGCAGAGTTCAGTTGAGATTATGGAATGTTATGAGAAAAAAAATAGGCTAATTAATGAATAAAAAACAAATAAAATGAAAAAAATGTAGCATCATTTATGGAGGTTCACATTGGTAACTCCTCATGCACAGAAAAAAATAGATGGCTAAATCTAGATCCAATGTGTTACACTGACCTGCTAAAGAGAACAACGGAAACCTTGATGTGAGTGTAAAATGGACTTTTCACCTTACTTCATTCTTATTTTGTTGATATATTATGAATTATTTCCAATACAACACATGTATTAATGATAGTTTAAAAAACAATTTTAAAAACTTAATTGAAATTATTCTGATTGGATTGACAATATTTATCAAGATCTGTAATATTTCCTATTTGTCATCAGCTAAAATCATTCACAACATCTACAAAGAGGATCAACTTTTGAAACAGCATCAGATCCTGTGTACAAACATGTGAACTCAGAGTTTGCGTTCCTTTGTCCTTACGTTAGGTTCATTTGCTTTATGTTGATTTGGGTTTTTTTTTGACTACTGATTTGTGATTTTGTGAATATGGCAAAATAAGTAGCATAAAAAAGTACCAGATATTACAGTTTTAGTACATCATTGACTTCATCAAATCAATAGTTATACTAACATGAGCTGACATTTGTCATTTAAGTTTGATCTGTGTTGCTGCACAGAGAATCAGTTTGACTTTGACATCCTTCTTTCAGTTTAAAACAAAACTAAAGCCTCAGCAGAAATTAGATGATAAAAATTGATATTTATAAGCCCTATAAAGATACCTGACCTGGGAATAAAGTCATATCTTTGTGATGAAATTAAGAAAACCAACTCTTTATGGAAGTAAGATAACAAAGTGAGATATGTTAACATAGATATTATCTTCAAACAACTTTCTATGTCTGCAATCAGAAGTAATCTCACAAGAAAAGGTAGGAGATGACTCCTGGCATTGATAGACACACATCTGTAATGTGCTCATTCTGGATGTTACTGGAGGTCATATATTATAGTCTCATCTTTTATTTTTGGATAGAAGACAAATTCATACCAAAAAACATCCACTAAATATAAAACTACTGCAGATGTTCACCTCCTTTACATGCTGGACCTTTTCGTCATCATAGAATAAAATAATATTTTACAGTCTGAGGGTTTCTTATGTTTCCTTTCAGTGTACAAAAAAAAAGATCAGTACCTGTTTAAACTTTCTCCAGCAGAGCATTCATTTCATCAAATGGTGAGAGCACACCAAACCATGGAGAGTTGAGCAACACTGCCATCTTGTGGCCATTTGATTTATTTGCAGTTCTCACATAGAGTATAGGTGTAAATCTATCTACAGAGCAGTAACACATGCAACATTTTTCACACTACCTCTTGTTGCTCCTTAAAGGCTTCATATGCAATTTTTTGATCCAGAAGATGTCGCCCTTGATCACCAGCATGAAACCAAAACAACTTGTGCTGCATTGTTGTGTTAGCATGCTAATGCTAGCAATCTTTATCATGCTCATATCTTCACACTGCATGTAAATTTACCTGAAATGACCGTGATCTAGAAACGCTTACGTGACATTCAATTAAGCAGTGAGTACAGAATGTTATTCTCTTTTCTCTAGTCCCTCAATTAAACAACTTTTATACGCGAGGGGATGAGCTGGCCGGCCGTCCCGGCGATGTAAACAAACTGAAGATAGGACTTGGAAAACTCGGAAAGCATCACAGACAGTGGGACTCCGGTGTTACACCCATTGTAGACAGTCATGACTCACAGAGTTATTTTCAGAGGATATCCTTGATTTCTATTGCATTTAAGTGTGAAAAATTGCATATTAAGCCTTTAATAAGCTGGTTTACAACTACTGTTGGCTAACAAACACAGGTTTAGTCAATAAGAAGTGATGACACTCTGAACATGCATGTACTTTTTAATCTCTTTAGTTGGTTTCACATTTATTTTTGTGGGGATTGTAAAAAATCTGCTATTTTAAAAGTGTTTCATGCAGGATTATTTGATGTTTCATATAGTTTATAGTTTTTTTCTTTGGTATTCTCAAGTTGAGTGATGGATTCAGGTTGGATTACAAACAAAATGTTCTTAAAATTTGTATAACATTTTTCCAACTTTTAAAAAAATTTCTCACTTGAATTGCTAAATCATACAGTGACTAACAGATGAAGTAGAAATGAAGTTATTATAAAAATAGAACGATTGCATGTGCATTAAATTATCTACAACATGAAATATTTAATAAAAGCAACTATGAGGAAATTCCAATTTCTGTCAGAAATTTAAAATTCAGATTGCATTCATGGATTTATATTTTAGGTGTGCACTAAGAAAAGTGTACTCCTATGCACTTGAATGTGTGTGCTAATGTGGGCTCCATGCATAGCTTGTATGCATGCATGCATATCTTTGTGTTTTGGTCTTAGTATTGTGAAGCCACGACTTAACTTTTATTTTCATCATTTTCTTTATTGCAACTGCTGGTTTCAGAGTGAAGGTTTCATCTGTTTATGACAGATGTCAGTGAATGAACTTTCTTCATTCCAACATTAGGAGGATTGTTGTTCTGTAACAATGGAGATGTGAGGCTGATCATTAGAAATGTAATTATGGGGAAACTTTGATCACATAAGAGCTAGGAGTGTTCTTTACTGCTGCTCTTTGTTTTTAAAGGACAGGTGTGTCCAATGTTTCTTTTATTGTGTTCTGTCAGGTGTCTAATGATTCCAATAGTTTCAGGTTGAACTTGTTTACCTTCAGCTTTCTGCTTCCAATGCTCCTCACCAATGTTTAGAGCTGCTAAGAGCACATTTTACAACAAACATTAAGTAAAAAAACAAAACACCTAACCACTGAGAGAATGGGCAGCCTGGAGAGATACATTAAAATAAACTAGTGATATAAGTTTAAAGGTATACTTCACCCATTTGCATTAAGCTTTGTATCATTAGAAACCTGGTAGTATTTTTGAATGGTTGTGCATCCCGCCCTCATTTTCCCCTGAGATGGGAAATCTTTGTATTTCTAAGTCTGAGAAGGAGCTTCCAGTGACGCAAAATGACGATTTTTGCGTCACTGGAAGCTGTTGCGGTTAGCGGGGTTAAACTACAACGCTAGTTCCTCATATTTTCAACCACTGAAGCTGCAGACCAATCACAGATCAGTGGGTGGGAACTCGCTCCCAGAATCGAAACTTAACGTCCGCCATATTGCTTGGAAGCTATGCTAACAGGCTCTATGAAGAAAGCTGATAATGGCGAAAAAATATAAATATAGCGGCGAGACGGCTGCTGCTGACAGGCCGATCTTGTGTCGAGGCTGCTGCGCCCGCCGGACGCTGGCCGCCGGGCGCTGGCCGCCGGCCGGAGCTTCCAGTGACGCAAAATGACGATTTTTGCGTCACTGGAAGCTGTTGCGGTTAGCGGGGTGAAACTACAACGCTAGTT